CCAAGGAAGTTGACAGGAGCAGTGATGAGAGCTGTGCTGTGCCGAAGAAGAGCCAGTGTTGGCTGTGACAGCCAGCAGTGGTCCAAAACAAGCAAGGAAAGGTTTCATCATGGCTCAGCACGTAGCAAACAGGGAGCAAGGCAGCCATCACAGAGCATTTTTTATCTAGTCTCGTGAGCCTGGACCATGGCTGGTCTAGATTTTGCTGAAGACTCTGCAACCTTTGCCTCCTTGGCTCTGCAGATGACTGACTTTCTGAGGCTGGTTTGTGACACTGACAGGGTGAGCTCTCAGCCATGGGTCTTCTGCCAAGGCTTGGAGTGTCTCCAGCGTGGGTGTCTTCTATGTGACCTGGGCGTCTGGGGACCGTCTGTAGTGGTGGAGCTCTGAAAGAATTGTCCATGCCAGTATGAGATCGATTCCTCCCAAATCTCCAGTATTGACTCTATACTTGATCTCTGTTGACTGAAAAGGGAGCCAGGGGTGAGACCACACTATGGACACCCACCTTGAGCTGTGTGGATCGCAATAATTTTAGTGTTGGCAAGACCAAAGGCATTGAAATATGAGTCTGTGATGAGGCTCGCAGGTCCCCACCTCCTCTGCTGAGAAGGGACTAAGACACTACACACCATGGCACAAGTTGGGAAGAGATCCCAACTCGTGAGTGGCCAATTCAGACCTTTCCAGACAACCCCAACTTGATGGGCTTTCACAGTGCTCCTCTTGGGGAGGGCAGCAACCTGTGTGTGGAGTGGCAACCACCTACTGCAGAGAACTGGGGTCTGGCCTGCAAAGGGGTGCACGTTTTTTGGTGACGGAGGGTGAGGAGGAATGCAGGCAGGTAGGAGACAGCATGTACAGGCAGGAGTGCGGGCGGGTGTTTCTCCAGCGCACACGCGCCCATGATGTTCAGAAGTCCCCCTGGCCATCCTGGTTGGGAGGCGAGGCAGCAATTAGGCTGATTGAAGGCCCAGTTGCTTATTGCACAACCCCAGAGGCAGTACCCCTTGCAGCTGTGCGGTTCAAAGAGCGTGAGGAGATAAGGATCTGCCTTGCAGAGCACTTGGGGAGCGCTGGGGCAATCCAAGGACAGATCTGGCCACGGCACCCCACTGCAACCCTCCCCTCTTCCAAGCTGGCATCTCCCTGAGAAGCCTTGCTGAGCCTACAGGAACAAGAGGGGAGTTTCCTCCCCCCTTCCCTGCTTACCCCACCCAACCTCTTGTAATTACTCCAGAGCTCACACAATTACCATCAGCTTTCCTTGCTTTCCAGCCTGTTCATGCAAGCTCCTGCTCCTCAGCCTCCATGGAGCCTCTGGTCTTTGCCTTCCTGCCTTGGTCACGGAGGGCATAGTTAAAACCCCAACTGGTTTCATGAGTGAAGTCTGTTTTTGTGCCCCATGGGTGGTGAAGCACTGAGGAGATCTCCAATGGGTGGGGTATGTGTAATGTCTCCTCTGGGTGGACTCTTGGGTGTCCAACCAAGGTTGAGCCACGCTTTATTGGACATAATGCTCAGGTCTTTCCTTTCTCTGTTATTTTCTTTGGGATTGTAGGAATGTGGTGTCTTTGGGAGGTGTCTTTGGGAGGTGTGTTGTGCCAGTGGACAATGCATATTTAGGAGATGTATAGGTGACCTCAAGTGGTCAGGCTCTTGCATGCTATGATTTATTAGCTGTGACCTCTTGGGGGCCCACCAGGGGCCACCAGTTGGGTAGTTTGTCCAACAGCACCCTACAGCCTTGCGATGGGGTCAGTTCTTTCCGTGTGGGACAAAAGGCATCTATATGAGCCTCACAACATCTTTTATCCAACTGCATCAGTTGAGCCATGCTGGACACAGGATCAGGGGGCGTGCAGGCTCTGCTTGTGCAGATTATTTGATGATGAAGTGGGTACTTAAAAACTATGACGCACTTTGGTGAGTGAGCAACGCAATTAGCTCGCTCAGCCAAGACAGGGCCACTGCTGCAGGCCAGCTCTGGGGTCTCCCAGCTGCCAGACCCTCCTCTGGAGAAGATCTCATTTGGATCAGAAGTAAATGCTGTGGTGGTTGGACTCTCTCTGGCAAGGGCTTCTGACCCTTCATGGTGGCTATGCTGGGGGGGATGCTCAAAGTGGGAGCTGCCTGGCTTGGCGATCACCACTGAAGACGTGTGTGATGTTTTGCTAAGGGCTAGAGATGGACCATGCACCTACCTGGGCACTGGGAAAATCAATTCTCTCTGCCCTGGGCTGTACTGATGCAGCCCATCATCTAATGGTTGTAGGTCCCACCCTTTCCCGGCCACCTCTGTTGTCTGTTCTGGGAGCTCCCAGGGAAGGGGAATGGGATGAGAGGAGGAAAATAACCCAGGGAACAGGTGGAGAATGTAGCTGGGACACATTTCCCAGAAACACAGAATTGTAGGAGTTGGAAGAGACCTTTGGAGATCATGTAGTCCAACTTCCCCATCCACATTTAGGATGGGACAGGAGTGGGCTGAGGTCTCCAGCCAAGGGGAGACCTTGGGAGACCAAGCAGGACCCCGACACCCCCACCACACACCCCTCCACTGTCCTTTGGCCAGAGTTTGGCTCTGCCTTTGCCTCCCTCCCCTTGATGACCACCCCCCAGGAGCAGCACGGCCGCACACAGGGATGTACAAAACAGTGAACGCTCTTTATTTCGCTGCTGGAGTGAAACCACTGTAATTTCATAAAACTCAAAAAAAAAAAAAAAAAAGAGATTATTAAAAGGCATACATTTCTTTTTTTTTTTTTTTTTTTTACACAAGATGTAAGTAAACAGACAAGTTTCTCTTTAAAAAGGTTATAAAGTGTCAAGATCCTATACCTCATCTGCATATTCAAAGTGATGCCGTCTGATACAAAAAGCGTTGGGTATAATAATTTAGCTATGGCTCAGACCAAAAAAAAAAAACCAACAAAAAAACCGAAACAAAACCCAAACCAAAAAAAAAAAAATAGTCATCTGGGCTTAATCTACATACTACTACGACTGCCCACGGAGTTAAAAAGGAAAATATGCAGTTCTTTGTTGCACAGAAAGAAACAGCAGGGAAGTGGAGAGTTCTTTGGGAGACCGTGGTCTAAAGGGAAGCTGAGCGTGGCCAAACAGCTCCCTTCCCCAGGAACGTCTGGTAGATCCTACAAGAGGGACCGCAGCCGGCCTGTGACCAACATCCTCCCCGCCAAAACTGCCCAAAGAAACCATCCACGTTCTTCTCCCACCAGACAGCATCCCATCCGAGTCCACCCGCCGAACTGCACCTCCCCAGCCCGCTGGAAGCAAATGAGATATAAGACCCTGGAAACTGCATGGAAGTCATGAACCTCCCTGTGCGCTTTCCCACTGGGACTAATAAAAAACAAACAAACCCAATGAAAACAAAAAAAAAAAAAAGAAAAAGAAAAAAGAAAATGACTCGTTCTATTGGAGATAGAGCAAGGCTCTCTGCTTCCTCGGGAAATCTGTTACTCGTAAACCTCCTCAGCTGCAGCTCTCAGCCCAAGCACCACCGTGGCAGCCTTACTGCAAGACTCATAATATGAACTCACAAATGTGAAATCTTTAAATACGTGTCACCAGACCCTTCTGGAATCAAGAGCTGGCCATTGGTAATGGCCGCATTGCCTGCCTTCCCACCGCTGCCCCCACCACGCACTCCATCTGACTGGGAAACCTGGAGAACAGAAGGGACGCGGCAGCCTCTCAACCAAAATGCTGGTAAGGGCACACGTGTGGCACCAGTGAGAAGTCACAAGTACCAACTCCTGCTGAGATTTATTCCCCCACAGAATCATAGAATGGTTTAGGTTGGAAGGGACCTTAAAGATCATCTAGTTCCAACCCCACTGCCATAGGCAGGGACACCTCCCACTAGACCAGGTTGCTCAAAGCCCCATCCAACCCATGTTAGGTTCAGCCATGAGATTTCTGGGCAAAGCCTACAAGCTCTTGGTTTGATGGTTGGGGCATCTCTGCTTTGCTATACCTCGGGTCTCCAAAGCTCTTGCTACCTGTATGGAGCTCTGTCCCTGCAAATTATGGAAATATGGAGGGCTTCCATGGAAGGCTGAGGGAGATGGATGGGGTGAGGAGGTATAAAACCCAGTTTGTGCCTTTGTTTCTGCAGATAAAGGCAGGACAAAGTGGTTGCTTTGTAGCCAAAGCCATGGGGGTGTCTGACATCTGCCAAGACCCAATGAGGACAACTGGAACAGTAACAGAACAGGAAAATACATCAGATTTTTAAGGCTCTCCTTTCAACATCTTGGCATCTGAGGTGAAATGAGGATTAGTGTACAAGGTGACCTTAAAACCAGCCAAAACCATGAGTCCTTGGCCGTTTAGGCCTTGCTCTGGTGCTATGACTACTGAGCTTCAACTTTCCCTCTTCCCCAACTATCCTAATATTTTTGTGGGGGAACTGGGCTCTTCTTTGAGATTCCTAACTCAAAACCCAGTTGGAAAACCTCTCAATTTCCCCAGCTTTTTATGTTTCTGTAACCCCCTCTAGGCTGAAACATTGAGCATCTGGTACCTCAGACGTAGGAGCCTGAGTCTGTATCAAAAAAATCCCAAACGTTGGGCAGTCCAACCCAGAGAAACCTTGGAGTGGGTTCAAACCCTCCATGAAAGGACAGCATCTCCTGGGCTGCTGAGGTGTCCTGTCCATGGAGCAGCACATGGGAAGTGACAGCAAGTTCCAGGACAGGGAGGTGACATCCATTAAAAACAGATGAAAAAAAATTAGGACAATTAAAGCAGCATGGTTTTGGTTGTGTTTTTTTTTTTTTGCAGTGACTCACAAAACTGAAGAGTATCAAGATGTTGCTCTACCAGCCAGAGGTTCTCAGGATTTGGCCACATGGATTGTACCAGGTCAAGGACTGCTCTTATACTAGAAGCTGTTTTTAAGGTGGTTGGGTTGATGCTACATCAAGCGAAGGAGCACTGCAAAGCCTGTCCACCCCCCTGTCCCGTCCTGTTGGCCAAAGGAGGCTGAATTCAAGCCCCTCTGTCCCCATCCTGACCCCAACTCAAAAGCATGGTGGCTGAAGCCCTGGATGGCTTGCCCTGGGTGATCTGCCATGCGATGCTCCCAGGAGCATGGGAGAGGAAAAGGTTTCTCCTTCTCTTGCCAGGGCAGAAACATCTCCAAGTCTGCAAAGCAATGGTTCCCACCGCTTTATCCTAAAGTCTTCATAAGTCATGGCACAGGCAGGGAGCACATGGGACCATGAGGTCTCCTGGCTAAGAGGGATCGAGGCTGTCCCCATCGCAATGCCAAGCCACCTTCTACTGCCCTTGGGGACAAAGAAGCACCTATTTTAGCAGCAAGAGGACACACCTGGGCAGGAAGGGGATGGTGACCCACCAAGCACAGCTGCTGTAATACAGGATCAGGCCTTTTTATCAGCCCAATTTCTCACCCTTCCCAACCAATGCAGACCCTACGACCACTGCCACCTCCCACATGAGACATAGGAATCAACAACCTGGAATGGGGCAGGAGAAACTCCAGTAGCTGAGGGCTGTCCTGCAATGTGGAAGCTTGGACAGGCCTGAGGTATGCAGTATGACAACTCTGGAGCCACCTCACTTGGCACCACAGCCTGTCCCTGGGATGGCCATCGCTGCCCTGCAATTGCAGTGGCTCCTAACTGGAGAGGAGCTCTCTGGAAACAGCTCCAAGGCCCTCCTTTGCCTGGGTGGTGGCACAAATCTGTCCCCTACCCTTCTGCGGGTACTGAAGGTGTCTAACCAGCCTCCCTCACCGCTTATCCCAAGAGCTAAACCCTCTGAAGCAAACGTCTCTGGATAGTCTATGTTTCAGAAGGCACACAAACCTTTGGAGATACCCAACACAGGGCACTGAAGGCATCTCAAGTTGGGCAGCCTACAACCACAAGACGCTGGATGACTAGCCCTCCTTGCCCCAACAACTGTGACCCTCAGCAGCTGAAGGGGTGAGCAGCAGCGAGCCCAAAGGACACCTGGAGCATCCCTTGGACCACACATATGCCCTGGTGCTGCTGGATGGCAGCCAACTGTGACCTGGTGCCGGGGATTGGTCTGGGGGTCACCTCCTGGGCTCCGCTGGGCACAGATGGGAGAAAGAAAGGCCAGAGGACATGCGGAAGACAAACAGGTTTGGTTTTTTTAAGTTTTTTTTTTTCCTTTAATTAGCAAATTTCTTCTTACCCTTGTCAAAAGAAAAAAAAAACACCCCCATGTCCCCTACGTGCCCACTTCTCCAGCTGCTGCAAGCGTTCAAAGGCAGAAAGTTGAGAGATGTTTCATGTCCCAGCTCAGGGGCAGCTCTGAGTCCACCCCTCCAGGGCACAGGCCAGGGGGTTTTGGGGTGCCAGGCGCTGTGTTACAGATGTGGGAAAGGTAGGTGCAAAATTTGGTGATGTGCTCTTGCCAGAAGCATCCAAAATTCCCCAGAAAATCTGCAGCCCAGCCCTTGGCCAGCAAACACAACGGTGGAGGACATGGATGTGCCCCAAGATGCGTGTTGCATCCCCAAGGGCATCACAGCCAGAATTAGAGTTTGCGCCACGGCTTGGGTGATGGGGACACCATGGAAGAGACCCCACCACCCTGTGCATTGAATTTGGAAGCTATAAATAAGAGTACCCCACACTTGTGGGACCCAGTGCTGCCCCTGCACCCTGGCAAAGCCCCACCACGGGTCCCCGAGTTCCCCAGTGCCCCTACCTTTTGTGCAGCGAGCCCCCAACGAGCCCCATCTGCAGCATCCCAGCTGGCATCAAGGCAACGGGGAGATGTTGGAGTGGGAGAGGGGCCAGGAGAAAGGGAATGGTGCTGGGGAGAATTAGCTCAGCCCTTCCCGTGGCCACAGGGCCAGCACCAAGCTGCAAGCCCCCCTTCACCTCTTCCTGCCATCACCATCTTCCCCCCACCCTGAGGCCACTGGACCGTTCCCACCTCCGTCCCCGTTGCTGCAGCCCTTTTTTGTAGGGAAGAGGTGGGAAAGGGTTCTTCTGGGTGCATTCCAGCCCTCCTGCTCTCTCCATCCCTCCTCAGCCAGCACGGCCCTGCTTGCATCACCCCAAACTAGGCACCCTCCACCCGTCCCTCTCAGTGCAACTGGAGGGGAAATGGGGGAGGAGGAAGAGGAGGAAGGGGATGAAGAACCATCACGTGAGCTCATTGCCTGCTAACGCCAAGAGTCAAAGGGCAGCGCTGCCTTCCCTCCTCGGGGCTGTAGCTGGAGAGAGCAGCCTTTTTTTCGGGGGTCCGGCAAGACGATGGTGCTGCGGGTGCTGGAAGATGGTGGTGGTGGTGCTCCATGTCCCCCCAACCCCAGCCCTGGCAGTGGGGCGGCGCCGTGGGGTGGCCGGGGCTTGGCAAGGGGAGGGTGAGGGGGTGGGATGCGTGCGAGTGCCCGGGTGTCTGTGTGCACAGATTTTTTTGGCAAGAGGTCATTGAGGTTACATGATGCAGCATTTGTTCTTGTGGTTATGAGGGTCCTTAAATCGGAGTCTTTGCTTTGGTCGGTATTTTTCCAAGTAGGTCAGCTGCTTGCTGTTGATGGCTCCTCTGCGCTTCCTGCGGGGACAGAGAAGGGTCAGCACAGTCAGCTGAGTGGCAGGAGAAGACATCCCCCACCCCAACCCCAAACTCACCCCTGTCGGGGTGCTGAACCCCCCTGTCTGGAGCAGGAAGGGATTTTGGAGGCTGCAGCCTTGTGCATCCTCCGTGAATGGAGACAAGCACTGGTCCCTGCAGCTTTCTCACCCAACCTCCTTGCAAGTCTCAGGACATGGGAGAGACAGTGAAGAAAGACATGGGGAGGCTGCCCAAAATGGGGTGCAAGGATGCTCCTGGCTGCCATCTCCACCCTGATGGCACAGGGGGGCTCAATGCAACCCTCCCTATTCTTCTCCGCCTCCCCAACAGGAGAGAAAAGCAACCCCAGCGCCCTGAAAAAACCCTGGATCTCTCTACTCCCTTGGAGAATCATAGAATGGTTTGGGTTGGAAGGGACATTAAAGATCATCTAGTTCCAACCCTCCTGCCATGGAGGAGAAACTGTCCATGAGGGGATACCTCATGGCTCTCTACAACTACTTGAAAGGAGGTTATAGGGAGGTGGGGGTCGGTCTCTTCTCCCAAGTAACAAGTGATAGGATGAGAGGAAATGGCCTCAAATTATGCCAGGGGAGATTAAGGATGGATATTAGGAAAAAATTCTTCACTGAAAGGGTTGTTAAGCATTGGAACAGGCTGCCCAGGGAAGTGGTGGAATCGCCACCCCCGGAGGTATTTAAAAGACGGGCAGACGTGGTGCTGAGGGACATGGTTTGGTGATGTTTTTGTCAGTGTCAGGTTGATGGTTGGACTTGATGATCTGAAAGGTCCCTTCCAACCGAGACAATTCTATGACACCTCCCACTAGACCAGGTTGCTCAGAGCTCCACCCAGCCTGGTCCTGCAAGGCTGCTTTCTCCCCCTGGACGCCGAAACGCTGCTCGACTTACTGTCGGATGAACTGGATGGCGTCTTCGTACTTCATCCCGCTCTCGATCAAGGCCAGCGCGACGAGGACGGGAGCGCTGAAAGGCAATGGCAGTGATGGTCACTCCCCAGCCACGCAGCCCAGAGGCTGACATCCCATCCCAGGGTGGTGGGACAACGCCATGGGGCTGTAATGGTGGCCTTGCAGGAACCACCAGCGCTGGCTTTTCATTTGGTGCCCAGTGACAGGACAAGAGGAAATGGGCACAAAGTTGAGTATAAGAAGTTCCACCTAAACATGAGGAGGAACTTCTTTACTGTGAGAGTGGTAGAGCCCTGGAACAGGCTGCCCAGAGAGGTGGTGGAGTCTCCTTCTCTGGAGACATTAAAAAACCGCCTGGACAAGATCCTGTGCAACCCCCACTCTGGTGGGGGGGTTGGACTTGATGATCTCCAGAGGTCCCTTCCAACCCCATATGATTCTATAATTCTATGATTTGTGATTTCTTGCCATTTGGCTGCAAGTGCTGCCCCAAAGAGCGGCTGACTTTTGGGGGTAAAAACCCCAGGATGGGGCTGGCAGCTGTTCTGCTGCTCTTCTAATGAGCAGAATGACTTTGGAGGCAAATCTGTCGGAAAACTGGATGCAAACATACATGCAAAACCTGACCTGCAGCAGGGGGAGCAGTAAAATGCAGCAGCTCTCAAAAAGCATCAGCTCCTGGTTTTAGCAGGAGGCGTTTTGCAGTATTTCCATGAAGAACTCTTAGCAGAAGCAAGGCAGCCACAAGGCACTACAAGGAGAGCATCCATCCCTTCGAGTCCCCCCTCAGCGCCCAGGATTTGCCCATGAGGAAGCAAGGAGGAGATCAGGCAGCAGCCCCTCCATCAACACCTATTCCCAGGAAGGTCTTTGCTGTGTACAAAAGCCCAGCTAACAGGGGAGCAGGGAAGGAGGAGAGCAGGCAGGAGAAGGGTGGGTGGTGGACCAGGCTCTGACTTACCGCCCCAGGCCGGCCACGCAGTGCACGGCCACGCAGCAGCCGGGGTCTTCGCAGAACTTGGTCTTCAACAGGTTGAGCCAATCTTCCACGATCTTGCTGGGAGGAGGCGCCCCATCATCAAACGGCCAATCCTGCAGGGTCAGAGGGAGAGAAGAACGCTGTCAGACCCTGGGGAAAAACTCAGGGGATTGCTTTTTACTCCGGGTGGTGGTGTTTGGGACCTTGGAGGTGGGGAGGTGGATGTGTGTGCCAGGAACCGGGCTTGCAGAGGAGCCTTGCGGGGATGTAGCAGGTTTTGCCACACCATCTGACATGCAGGAATTCCCTGGCTGCTTCAGCTTGGGGTTTGCAGGCATACGAATCTAGGTCTGGAGTTCTCCTAGACATAGAGCTCTAGATTCAGCCTTCAGGAGCACTACAGGACCTGCAACATGGTCCCCACATCCTCCTACCTCTACAGAGCAGGGTTGCCATCGCCTGCCTCCTCCCCGTTCTGGTGACCACACTGAGCTTTGGAGAGCTGCAACTCCCATCCTTCCCCCCAGCAGCTCATGTCTAAGCCCAGCACTTGGAAGAGAAAAGTCACTTTGTAGGAAGTTTGAGCAAAGGTGGCTCAGAAATGGCTGAAACCCGAGGTGCCTGATGCAGTGCCGAAATTCAGCTTGCTGCAACACGTGGAGGGGAAGGTGAAGACACGAGTCCCGAAAGGATGCTCTGGGGACTCCCTAACACAGCCCTAGAGAGCCAAAGGGGGGGACCATTTAAACAGAATCCTTCAGGAAAGGCTCTTATGGGACAAAAAAACCAAAAAGCCCATCTTCTTCTGAGCTTCATCCTCAAGCTGCAGGGACTCAACATCGGAGCTTGGTGATGAACAGGGTAAAACGGGTGTTGCATTAAGCATGGCCTGGCCCTGGGCACTGCTGTTGGGAAAAAGCATCCCCCCCCAGCCTTGCTTGCAACTGCTGCAGCATTTTGGGGAAGGGCTGGTCTCTCCCCATGGGCACTGGAAGCCAGTTGAGGCTCCCAGAATGGGGATTTCTCTCCCAAAATAGATTTGGCAGGAGGAACGTGGCCACTTGCTACACGGCAGTTGGAGAGAGGGACAGGCAGGAGAGCGTCGCTTGGAGAGGATAAGGCAGGGTGCAGACCATGTAGATGACGTGTAGACATAGTGCTGAGGGACATGGTTTTGGGGTAACTTGGCAGTGTTAGGTTGATGGTTGGACCTGACGATCTTCAAGGTCGCTTCCAACCTAGATGATTCTATGATTCTATGGTGTGCCCTTAGTGGGTGGGAATCGTGGGGCTGTAATCCTCATCTTTGAGGAGTGAGTCACTAAGCTGCTGTGCTGCAGTCATCCTTGGTGTAAGATGGCAAAAGAAGCTGCTAAGCTTCACTTCAGTGCTTGAACAGATAATGTGATTTCAGCTGGGCTTTGCTAGGAAAGGAGCACGTGAGGCTTCAGGGCATCCTAACCCTTGAGCCCGCCCACCATGCACAACCTGTTGCCTGGCCTGCAAGACCATCTGTCTTCTCCCCATGGTGCCTGGAAAGCACTGATTCAGCCATGAGTGCAGGTCACCAGCTCGCATCAGGGATGACCCACCATACCACAAAATCATTGAATGGCTTGAGGTGGAAGGGACCTTCAAATATCATCTAGCCCAAATGTCCTGCCATGGGCAGGGACACCTCCTACTAGGCCAGGTTGCTTAAAAGCTCCATAAAACCTGAACCTAGAACACTTCCAATGATGGGGCATCCACAATGTCTCTGGGCAACCAGCCTCACCATAAATTTTTTCTTCCTGATGTCTGATCTAAACCTAGTCTTTTCAATTTGAAACTGTTGCCCCTTGTCCTGTCACTACACGCCCTGGTAAAAAGTCCCCATCTTTCTTATAATCCCCCTTTCTATACTGAAAGGCTGCAAAAAGGTCTCCCTAGAGCCTTCTCTTCTCCAGGCTGAACAACCCCAACTCTCTCAGCTTGTCATCACAGCAGAGGTGCTCCAGCCCTCGGATCATTTTTGGGGCCCTCCTCTGGACCCGTTCCAACAGATCCATGTCCTTCCTTTGCTAAGGACTGCAGAGCTGGAGGCAGTGCTCCAGGTGAGGTCTCACTGGAGGTGGTGCAGAGGAGCAGAGCAGAGAGATGAGCAGTCCCTTGCCCTGCTGGCCATGCTGCTGGGGATGCAGCCCAGGATGTGGTTGGCTTTTCGGGTTGCAAGTGCACATTGCCGGCTCATGTCCAGCTTTTTATTCACTAGTATGCCCAAGTCCTTGTCAGCAAGGCTGCTTTCATAATCCCTTCAACCCCCAGCCTGTGTTGATACCAGGAGCTGCCCTGACCCACGTCCAGGACCTTGCCCTTGGCCTTGTTGCACTTCATGAGGTTCACATGGGCCAAGTCCTCAAGTCTATCAAGGTCCCTGTGGGTGGCCTCTCATCCCTCTAGGGTATCAACTGCACAACTCAGCTTGGCGTTATCTGAAAACTCGCAGGTGCACTCCATCCCACCATCTACGTCACCGGTGAAGAGATTAAACACTACTGGCATGTCCAACACAACATATCCATCCTGCACCATAAACCTTCCTACAGCAAAACTCACACGGCGTCAGTTCTCTGGCAGGATTTCTGCCCCATCTCCAACTTGCTGGAAGAGCTGCCAAGCAGATGTCCATGGCACAGGACACCCACGTCTGGCACAACTTGTGGTTGAGATCCCCTATGGCACACAGAGGAGCCAACATCAGAGGTGTCCAAAACAGCCATAGAGTGTGTCCAGGATGGGACCACTGTACGTGTGGACATCGTGGCTGCAGATGCTGGCACCCAGGCACATCATGCCAATCAGTCCTCGCCCAGCTTGTGTCTATTCCCCAAAGAAAGGCATAGGATACATAGATACAGTCTATATATACATATAAATTTGATAGAAGTATATATAGAAATATCTCTGGGTAGCATAGTGCTGTCTCTGTATCTGCACAGATATATCTATCCATAGATACATAGGATATAGATATCTCTCCAGATAAGATATACCTTATATAGTTTCTATACAGTTATAGAAACTTATATATAGAAACTATAAGAAGCATCTTATATAGTTTCTATATTTAGGATATTGCTATCTCCCTATACAAAACATACCACATATATAGATATCTCACTATAACATAGAGAGGTATGTATATCTTAGATAAAGAAACTCCAGATATAGAAACTGGAGGACTCCAGCCCCAAACAGAGTAAAAGGCAGAATTTGGTGTGTAAGCGAGCAGATAGGATATCCTACATACAGATTCTATATACTGTAGGATTTAGCTACCTTTAGAAGATATAGAAGGTATAGAAGATAGAAGATATAGAAGGTATAGAAGATATACCCTGTAGAGACATAGAGATCTGGAGAGATCTCTATCTGGAGGATCTGTATCTAGAGAGAGACACAGGATCTATATCTACCTATATCCTGTATCCTCTAGGATCCTCTAGATATAGATCCTATGTCTCTATTCTAGATGCTCTACAGGATCTAAGACATAGCTCTCTCTATATATAGGATAGATGTTATACAGAGAGACCTTTATAGGAAGGATCTACGCACAAGAGGACCACCCCAGGAGACACGAGGCGCTTCCAAAGCCTTTCCTAAACTAACGAGCTGAACTCTCCTCACTCCCCAGCTGGAGCTGAACTCCCTGGCAGGGCCATCACGCCTGACATCATCTCCAATTACTTATCAGCCAAGACGCAGCCCAGGCAGCTGCCTGCTCTGCCTCCTCGCCTTTTCCTGCCGCCTGCCCTGCTCCCTTTCATCCCCCAGAGCTGCTGCAAGAGCAAAAATCTCCCCCTCCCCTCCCCTTCCCCCCCCCCGAGATAAGATAACGCCGAGGGTAGTGGCAACCACGCGCATCTTCCACGTGGGATCAGGCGCTCTCATCCCCTGGATGCTTTAAAGCCCGAGCCACAGGCAGGGAAGGCAGCTGCCGACTCAACCCTATGAGTCACAGTTTCGGGTGCGTGGGCAGCACTTTATTATTTTATTATTTCTTTTTCAAAAAGCACCAGCTCCATCTCAGCCCCGGGGGGGAGCGGGGAGCTCGCCCGCCTCGCCCCCAGGATGAAGCTGGGCTTCAAACTTCGCTCTGGTGGCACATGAGATACCGCTTTGGTCCACCCAGAATGCAGGATGTTCAGCAGACCCAAGGGATGGGGGGTGTTTTAAGCCCGGGAGGGGGTGGGCAGCCTCCCCCAGCACCCATCCTGCCACCCACTTACCATGACGGTGATGCCGTCCTTCTCCAGGGGGGTCTTGTCATAGGTCACTTCGCACACTCGCACCACCGTGGTGGCACCGTACTTCTTCAGGTCCTGGGGAGGGAAGGAGAAGGAAGGGTCTGAAAAAACCCTGCCAGTTGCACCCCACTTAATTCTAACACCTCCGAGCCCTGCTACGAGCACACGGACTCCTACAGACCCTAAAAGAGTGCTGTGCCCCATCTCTGGACCCTTGAGAAAACCCCTCTGTAGACCATCCAGCCCAGGAAGCCTGAAATCCCAGGGCATCAATTACTACCCCTGGAGGTATTTAAAAGATGGGTAGACATGGTGCTGAGGGACATAGTTCAGTGGTGGCTTTGGCAGTGTTAGGTTAACGGTTGGACTTCATGATCTTAAAGGTCCCTTCTACCCTAGATGACTCTGTGATTCTATGGCCACGTGGCCACAGTTGGATTTTCACCAGCACCTTCACGGCTCCTTGGAGTCACTAGTGCCAATGGGGCCATTTATTTTTAAGTCCCCACCAGCAAGGACTTTACACCCCAGGCAAAGAAACATCCTCGATACGGGTGCAAATCCCCCAAAGGAGAAATTATTTGTGCCTGGTGAGGTCGCAGCTCCCACTGTGGGAATGCAGAAAGGGTTTCAGGTGTGGATTGGGAGGGTTTCCTTGAGCTCTGAGGATGCCTCTGGTGTCAGCACACCCCACCGACCAGGCTCAGCATCTCACAGATTGCTCAGGGGCTGCTTCTCGACCTCGTTGCTGTATCCCATCATCACTCCAACGCGCTGCAGGCTGGGGCGTTGGACTTGGGCTGCTTCCAGCCTGGCTTATCGTCTGCTGCACAGATTGCCCCCGGATTATGGGGCTGGGGAACCGTGTGAGATCATAGAATCATAGACTAGTTCGGGTTGGAAGGGACCTTAAAGATCATCGAGTTCCAACCCCCCTGCCCTGGGCAGGGACACCTCCCACCAGACCAGGTTGCTCCAAGCCCCATCCAACCTGGTGTTGAACACCTCCAGGGATGGGGCACCCACAACTTCCCTGGGCAACTTGTTCCAGTGTCTCACCAACATCAACAGTAACTAATTTCTTCCTTATATCTAATCTAAATCTCCCCTCTTTCAGTTTAAAACCATTACCCCTCATCCTATAACTCCACTCCCTAATAAAGAGTCCCTCCCCATCTCTCCTGGAGCCCCCTTTAGGTACTGGAAGGGGCTATAAGTTCTCCTCAGAGCCATCTCTTCTCCAGGCTGAACAACCCCAACTCTCCGTGGCCCATTCACGATTGTCCCCTCGAATGATCCATCTCCTTCCTTCTCTTGACAGACCACAGCAAACGCCTGCACACGCGGCAGCTCAGCCAAAAATCTAAGAAGCTGGAGAGATTGCACACACCCATGTACATCACCGCAAAGCCCCATGATGTGACGTGCTGGTGGAGCTGGCAGGGGATGCGACAGGAACAGCTCTGCTGTGCCCAAACACCACGTTTGGCATCCTCCAAAACATCCTACCCCAAAAAGCCAATGGTGATGGAGCCACCACCCAGGGATGCCACTGGTACCAAAGGGGGTGTGCTGCTGCCTCATCCTACACGGAATTGATCCCTGTTGCATCTCAACATCAGCTTTTAGCCTCAAAACATGCAACTGGGTCCTGTACCCGCCTTCCAGCCTCCCCTCCTTACCTCCAGGAAGGTGCTGAGCGTGGCGTTGGTGGGGTTGTGGGTGATGAGGAACCTCATGTTTTTGTAGCAGACCTCCACCGGCGCAGGGCGGTTCATCCGGGCCATGGTGGGACGGGAGGAGGGCGAGGTGGTGCTGACAACGTGTGGTGGGGAAAAACCCAAGAAAAGTGTGGCGTGGAGGGGAAAACAAAGGAAAAAAAAAAAAACAAAACAAGCCCTCCGCACTTAAAAAATAAAAATAAATCAGGATCGAGAACTCAATATACAGACGTTGTGCAAATAATCCCAGCTCCTGGGAGTGCGCCGGCTTCCTCGACACACCGCAAGCCCCCCCGGGGTAAAAAGCCAGATGGGGGGGTGGAAAAAAATAATATTAACGATAATAATAATAATAATTATAATTTTTTTAAAAAAAAAAAGAAAGGAAAAAAAAAATCCCTTTGCTGTAGTGTCGGCGTCCTGGGCGTGTGCGCGACGGCGAGCGGCTGCCGCCTCCCTGGCGCTCTAAGAAAAGGCCTCTGCGTATGGTGGGGGGGTGGCGGGAGGGTGACCCCCGTCACGTTACCCCATCGGGGTATGTGGAGTACTTAGGGGGGGCAGGGGGGGCCGGGAGCCTACGGGGCGGCGTCGGCGGCGTCCGGCAGCGGTCCCTCGCTGGGGCGATCCATGCACGGGAGCCTTGAATGGTTGAGTCGGTGGGTCGGGATGCTGGGGGAGAGGAGGAGGAGGAGGAGGAGGAAGAGGAGGTGGTGGCTGGGTGCCTCGGGTTCACGGGGCGGTTTGCCGGGGGCTGCGGGGCTCAGAGCTGCTCCTCAGCACCTCCATAAATCCCAGCGGAGAGCGAGGCTGCAAGGGAAGGAAAAGGAAAAGATGATGGTGAGGGTCTTCTCCTCCCTCGGATGGCTCCAAGGTAGCTGGAGGGGGGACACACGGGCATCCCGTAAGAGCATCCCTACCCATCCTCATCTTACCCACAGATTAGAAAGGGGGGTGGTATTTAAAGAAAAAGCTGAAGCATCACCTGAAAAAATTGAAATGCCACTGGAATGTCGGGGGGGGGGGAAACTCACATTTCCCCCCCAAAAAGGGAAAAGCAGGTGGAAGAGAAGGAACTCACTCTCACACCACTCAACACCAGCACCCAGCTGGTGTATTTAAGCACCCAAGCCACCCCCCCCAGCCCCAGCACCCATCACTGTCCCCCCCAGACCTCACCTTTGCGTCCCCGAAACCCACGGGGCGTCACGGTGAATATTTTCCCCCCGAACGTGGCGTTCTGCCCCAAACCAGCCGCCGCTGCCCCTAATCAGCCACATGCTCCCAGCGCTGCTCATGGCCACCAAATGCACCTCTAATGCTCTTAGGCCAACTAAGCCGCCTGCAAATGAGCTTTCTCGGGGATGGGGGGGACGGGGGGGAGGAGGAGGAGAAGGGGGTGGTGGGCGAGGAGTTTTGCCAGCGATGGATGTGCCCCCCCCTGCTAATTCATCCTCATCCTTGCCAGCGCATTGCTCCCCATGAAGTACCCCCCGGGGCATCTTCACCTCCAGGGATGGCGACGGGAAGAATCAAATCAGAAAATAAATCCATTCCCATTGCAGGAAACGCCGAAAGCCACGAGAGGCTGGGCCTCGGAGGGAGTCAAGGATGCTGCCAGAGATGCTCGGAGCTGAGGGAAACCTGGTGCTTCCCTGGGTATTTACTATTTAACCCACCAGACTCTTGTTTTGAAGCTGGTCCCTTCCCCGGGTCAGCGGCTGCTTAGCGCCGCGTGGCCAGAGCCTCAAAATAGACCATAAGCACATAAGTAACCCAAGCTGGGCCAGCAGGCACCCCCTCGCCTCTCTTCCCGACACCCCAACACCCAGAAAACTTCCCCCTTGGGGTCATTTTACCCCAAGATGCAAGGAGACAAGGTGGGAGCGGGGAGGTGGGCTGAGCACTGACCCGCTCATCACACCACCCGGGTGCTGTCACCAGGCTCCTCCGTGCCAGAGCATCATTTACGACCTGCTTGTCGGCTCCTGCTTTGCCAGGGAATGAAAAAAAAACAACAAACAAACAACAAAATAGCAAAAAAATCAAATAGCAAAGGGGAAAAAAAGACAGGTGGAGGTGGCAGAGGGAAGCGGGGCTGCTCTCCTAAACGTGCCCAGCTTGGCTGCTAAAATCCTGGACTCTTCTGCTGGCAGGGCACTAATTATTTATTAATGGCCACCCTGGTGCTGCCCCAGCACATCCTTGCACCCATGGGTTTACAGCCAGGATTTTGGAAAGGAGCTTAGGGGGTCTGGGAGCTGGGAAAGGGCCAAAACTCAAGGGGATTTTGGCACTGAGCCCTCCCCAGCTCCTGATGTGTCCTCTTCCCCCTTTCCAAGTTGCCCCCAATCCCTTTCTCAGCCACACCACATCACTCCTGACTCATTTATATTTTTTTTTTTTGGCAAAAAAATTGGGTAATGCTACCCAAGAGCCAAGAAGAGATGGGATGGGGCCAGCTCTGTGGTTTGTGATGGTGACCCATGGTTGAGCAGTGTTGACCCGTGGGCTCCTTCCATTAGGATGCATTGGATTTTTTCTTCTCTTGAAGATGCTAACAATCCACCCTGCAAGGATGTTCTGGGAAGTTCAAATCCAGCTTGGGCTGTAGGGGTGTCCCAGGGGGAATTTTCCAGTCCCCACTGAGAAAATCAGCTGATGGAGGCTGGAAGGGATTGGAATGAGGTGAGAGCTGCCTCCCAGCAGCATTTTGGGTCTGATTCAGAGCAGCTCAGCCCCAAGGTGATGCTGAACAACCCCCCCGGGGCAGCTCACCCTCCCCAGCTGGACCACAGCACCAGCATCTTTGCTCAAACCTTGCAATATTCCTGCAAGACAGGACAGAAACCTGCTCTTTCCCTGGGCTTAGTATGATTTTCCAGTGATGTTCCCACTCATGGCTTCACTTGTGGGGTCTGCTCCACCCCAAGATGAGCTCACCGTGGCCGGGTAAAAAATGGTAGTTCTGGAGGGTAATTTTGGGCTGATTTTTGGCTATGTGGCTCCTACAGAACCAGTCGCCGAGCTGTGAGGCCAGCACAGCCACGAAAAGAGCCAGCAACCCAACAAGTGAATGTTTCCCAAGAAAAACCTCCTTGGCAACCTCCCCAGCAACTTTATTCCTTTGCTTCACAGTAAAATAAAGAAGGTTAAAACCACTCCAAAGGGATGGGAGGTGGGAAGGATGGGCAACCTCAAAGGGAAGAGCTGCTGGAAAGCAGATATTGCCACATATCCCCTTGCAAAGACAATTTCTCTGATGTAAAGGACCTGAGGACCTTCTGCCTTTCCTTTAGCTCTTGCCTCTTTCAGCTCCCAACGCGTTCCACCACGTCTTGCCTCCTGCCCCTTCCATCTCCACGCTCTCGTGTGAGAGCTGCTTGCAGAGCACAAGGAAAAGCAGCCAAAAAAAGAAATAATTATCACTTTTCCCCCCCTCCAAACAACCTCCCACCCCGTTTCAACCACCCGCAGGGTTGTGCCAGCATCGCACACCCGGCAGCAGTAGCTCGTTCCCCACCATCATCCAACACTCCATCGTGCTCCATGGGTGCTCTGGAGACCATATATCCAGAAAAGAGCCAGGATATATAATTTTTTATGGGCTCGGGCGCGCTCGCTGCCAGGAACGGAGGTTCAGTGGGAACCGCCTGCGTAGGAGAACAGCGAGTGCTCCTTTCCCACAAGGTCTCCTCTCCAGTGGAAGCGTTTCAAGTATTTTGGCAATCGCAGGATCCTGGCAATTCAGCCCCGAAGCCCATAAATCCCCGATGGATATTCAATCGCAAATCATCCCCAGCTCTACGGGCTGCCACGCCGATCACCATATTAAGCACGGCCCAACAACGTGGAAAAAGGGTATTTCAGCTCATATTAATAACCTGCCAAGTGAATAAATATCCTTCTGGCTTGAGCGCTAGGGGGGGGATCTGGATGGAGCACACGAGGACACAGTCTGGAAGCCCTGGATGAGGATGCTCAAACCTTTCAGGCTCAAGCCCATCAGGGTTTGGGATTGTTCAGCCTGGAGTAGAGAAGGCTCTGGGGAGACCTTACAGCGGCCTTTCAATACCTGAAGGGTGCCTATAGAAGAGCTGGAGAAGGACTCTTTGCCAGGAAGGGTAATGATAGGCCAAGGGGAAACGGTTTTAAATTGGAAGAAAAAAGATTCAGATTAGATACCAGGAAGAAATTTTTTACTATGAGGGTGGTGAGGCACTGGAACAGGTTGCCCAGGGAAGTTGTGGATGCCCCATCCCTGGAGGGGTTCAAGGCCAGGCTGGATGGGGCCTTGAGCAACCTGCTCTAGTGGGAGGTGTCCCTGCCCAGGGCAGGGGGGTTGGAACTCGATGATCTTTGAGGTCCCTTCCAACCCAAACCATTCTATGATTCTATGATTCTATAGGGTAAAGCCCAATGAAGCATGGAAATCCAGTTGTCCAACTGGAGGAGCTGGGTACCCTGATGCCACCATCCCCTTGCTGTGCCCAAAGCTGAGGAGGGATAGGGACCACCTCCTCACAATGTGCCCATCACTGTCACCCCAACATCTGCAAACTCATCTCAAATCTTCATCGGCCACATTTGCCTTTGAATTTTGGCCTCCCAACCATACGGGGATGGACCTTGCAACAGCAGGGATAGTCATAGAGTCATAGAGTTGTCCAGGCTGGAAGGAACCTCCACAGGTCATCTAGTATGACCCCCCCGCAGTCAGCAGGGATCCCTCCAACTAGACCAGGTTGCCCAGGGCCTCGTCGAGCCTCTCCTTGAATATCTCCGGGGAAGGGCCCTCAACCACCTCCCTGGGCAACCTGTTCCAGTGCTCCACCACCCTCACAGTGAAGAACCCTCTCCTAATCTCCAGTCTAAATCTGTTCCCCTCCAGCTTGAAGCCATTGCCCCTCGTCCTGTCAAGGCTGTCAAGGGATAACGCTGCTCTTCCTCCCAGCACCTCAAGGCAAAAGAAAGACCAGGGTTTCCTCGCTGCAGTTACCAAAAGGACTTGGCTGGACGGGTGAGGAGATACCAGACCTGACGGCCACGCTGCTGGTACTCGGGCTAGCGGGATGCAGCTGGTGAAGTCAGGTTTTCCTAAACACAGCGACTCCCCAAGCAAAGGAAAAGGAAGCTTTGCAGAGCCAAATCGTCGCTGCACGTGGGCTTTATCAGCGGGACTTGGAACAAAGGCTCTTACTCACCCAAACAATATGTATCTTACCCGTATATAAATATAGCTATCTCCCGAGCGAGCACATCTCACGTTCAAAGTTCACCTTCAGAAAAAATCTAACAAAACACCCATCTGTGCTACATTTGCTCAACCTCTCTCCTGGTTTCAGCCCACGTAGCAAGACACTGACCGGCCCTTTCCCCTTATGGCTGATCAAGTCCTTCTCTCCCTGCTCCCAATCCCACCTCCGCAACAGGCGTTTCCATCACCCTGAAAATTGCATGCAAGTTTCTGAGTAGTCCCGGTTATCGCCACGTAGGAGTTTTGTACACACCTACCATTGCCACGTGTGACCACAGCAAGCAGGTCTATGGGACTTGGTCACACATAGGAGGAGACCTACCACCACCAGCATCACCACCAGTGCCACCACCACCACCACGAGCAACACCACCACTGCCACCACCACCACCAGCAACACCACCACTGCCACCACTACCACCAGCATCACCACCAGTGCCACCACCACCACCAGCAACACCACCAATGCTACCACCACCACCAGCATCACCACCACTGCCACCAGCAACACCACCAGTGCCACCACCAATCATTGAGCCATAGAATCACAGAA